TCGCGTCTCCGCCCGCCCACCGGCTCGCTCACTCGCTCGGAGCCCAGGCCGCCGCCATGTCTTCCGGGGCCAGCGTAAGCGCCCTGCAGCGCCTGGTGGAGCAGCTTAAGCTGGAGGCCGGCGTGGAGAGGATCAAGGTGAGGCCCGCGCCGGCGTGTGGCCTCGGGGTGCGGAGACCGCCCGGCCGTCCGCGGGCCTGGGAGGAGGAGGCCGCGCCCGGGCGGACAGCTGCAGGGCCGGCCCGAGCGCGAGCCGGGTGGCCGGACGCGGTGGGCGGGCCTGAGGACTGCGCCCGACCAGGCTCGCGGCTCGGCCTCGGGCGGTGGGAGTCCGCGCAGGGCCGGACCCGGACCCCGGCGCCCGGGAGAAATGCACCTGACCCCGCGAGGGCGGTCCGGGACCGAGAGCCCCGGCGCGGTCACGTTTCAGTGATGGGGACAATGACTCGGGGTGCCCGACGGACGCGAGGACACCAGGAATGCGGGCGACGTGCTGGTGGCCCCCCCGTACTTGGCTGGTGCGGGAGGATGGGGTCCAGAGCTTCGGAGGAGACTGAATGGATGGGCCTCGGTGATGGGTTGATAGGATGAGGAGGGAGGAGGGCGCTGCTCGGGTTTCTGGCCTGGTGACAGGATGGATGGCGTTGCCATTCGCTACGGTAGGGAGGAGAGATGATGCGTAAGTTTCGGATACGTGGACTTTGAGGGGATGCCCGGGAGGTGTTTGGCTACCTGGGCCGAAGCTCAGAGAACGAGGCTGAAAGAACGTATGGGAGTGAAAACGGTAGGAAGTGACCAGAGTGTGGACCCCAGGGACCTGCCGAAAGAGATACTGAAGCGAGGAAGGAGGGGTTTTCACAATTCTGAGGCTTAGTCAACGTGTCAAATGTTTAGTCAGTTGATTAAAAAGCATCTGATGTGTAATTGTGTTTACCAACTAGTATATAGCATTATTTGTAGAATGTGTGTGTGAATGAATGGACACTGCTGCGATAGTCTGTGGACCTCAGTAGTGCCATTTCTTTGTACCATGCTCTATTCTAGGTACTGAGAATACGTTATTCTAGTGGGGAAGATAAACAATAAACACACTAACCAATAAATAAAATAATTTCAGAGAGTAATTGATGTAATTGATTCTAAAACAAGGTAGACAGAGACCTGTGGAGTGCAGAAGAGGTTTCAGTGACATATGTAGTAGTAGATGCTGAATCTAATTTGTAATAGGATAGAAAGACTTTATTGAAAAAAAATCTGGTTTTAAAGAGGAAACCTTTTTTTTTTTTTTTAAATTTAGGAAATGAAAAGCTGTATTTTGAGGTTGAGAGGAAGGAACACACTGTATTTTTAGGTCGAGGGGGAGAAACAAATGGAGAAGGAGAACTGGAGGTAGAGACAGGTAGTCTGTCTAAGGGGGTCTGGGGTTGGAGGGGCACCTTCTGAGGCAGGAAGAAAGGAGGAAGGATATGTGTTAACATAGATGTTTCCAGATAAGGGCTTAATACCTTGTATGATGACAATTTTCTTTGTGAAATAGGAGGCCAAGTTTTAAGGCAGAAAAAAGGGAACTTACGGTGTCACAAGTGCTGAGGATGAGGGAGAGAGTGCTGTTGGGAATGGGAGAGGACCCCCTAGCAGGCACAATCATAGACACCTTGTGATTCTGAAGACCCAGCTACTGTGAGATTGATTGTCCTACTTTTTTTTTTTTTTGTCTCCAGCAGTATTTGGCTGCCCAGGAATCTGAGTGCCCAAGCTGAATGGTAGTTGATCCAAGTAGTGGGTTAGCAGGGGAGTTTTGTCAGAAAGATAGAAATGGGAGTGGAGAGCAAGGAATTTGAGGGTCTGGCCGGAAAGAGGCTGAACCCAGGCTGAATGGAGAAGGAACAGAGCCAGCCTACCTGTGATGGGCCAGACAAAAAAGGAAGAGATGTTCCCCCTGAGGTCAAAGAGCAGGTGCAGTGAGGAGAAAGGAAGCAGCACCCTGGATGGGCAGGAGAGATTGTGATCGGAAGGCAGGATGTTGGAGTGTGAAATTACAGATGTGGAGCAGTTACAGGTATTGCTGTAACTACTGCTGTTGAGGAGAAGGTTGTTTGAAGAGAGGAGCTCAGGGAAATGAAACTAGGGTTGTTGGAAATGTTTAAGATGTAGTGGGGACCTAAGTGGAAAGAAAAACTGTGAGCCAGATGTCTGCCTACCCTGTGCAGTAGCTAGGGAAGGTATTCGTATCTACATTTAAAAAGTAGTTACAGGTGATGAAACTGAGACACAGAGAAGTCAAGTGAATAGCTCAGAGTCACACAGATAATAAGCTTATTTGCAGGGTGTCCTCATGGGAGTATGGTTTGGGGTGCTTGGCAGGGCTTTTCTCAGGCAGCACCTTAGGGAGTCACAACCTTCCAGGGTCTGGTTTGACTCATTTCAGGGCTCAGTGACGGATGGGTGTTCTCAGCACACCCAGAGACGTCTTCTCTTTCACAGACTTGCTAACTGGTAAATAAACCGGAATACCAGTTTCTTAGCATATGATGGAGGGCAGCCCTTCCCAGTGCTTCAATGCTCAGTATCCTTCCAAGGACCCCTTCTTTGCTTTCGAGAAGTCTCTCAGAAGTTGATGGGTCAGCTTGGGCTCAAACCAAGGAAAGTCATATGATTTGGGTAGGGATTATCCCACCTCCATTGGGAGGATACAATTTCTAAGGGTTTGGGCTTGTATTCTTCCAGGCCAGAGTTTTTCCCTTCAAAGTGCTAGAGAAATGCTGACACGTTACTCTTCTCTCATTTGCTTTGCATATCCCTCACCTTAACTTTTTGATATGTTCTTTAGGCTAGGGTGCAGTTAGCCCCATTTCTCTGGCAGTCCTGGGGGACAGTCTCTTTCCACCCATCATGTGTGGAGTTCACTCGTTCTCTCTGAAGCTGAGATAATAATCATGAGCATAATTGGTTCCAAATTTCTTTTGAATTAATAACATATATATATATAATCAGTAATTCCAATTATAATTAACATGAAAATGTCAGAACTTCTGTTGAGGGAAAGGCAAGCTTAAACATTAGTTTGGCAATATTATATTACATGTTTATATGATATAAACTGTTATTACATTAATGAAACTAAAATTCCTAAAGTATTCTAGAAACTAGATAGTAACTGACACCTAAGGAATTGATTTTTTCAGTTATTTGGAAGCTTGGAAAATTAACACAAATTAGTAGTAATACTTGAACAGCAACTGGAACATTTTTGTACAGTATGGGTGAGATTTTATACAAAACACTTTTTCAGTACAAGAAAAATGGAAAGCAAGGAAAGCCTCCAAGTACAAATATGCATCAAATGGAGGCTAAGAAGAAAAGCAGAATAATATTGTGTCAATGCTGCCTAATACACTTCTTCAAAACTTAGTGGTTTAAAACAACCTTTATAAACTCGCAATTCTTGGATCAACAGTTTAAGCTGTGCTCAGCTGTATAGTTCTGTTGGTCTTTGCTGGGCTCTCTGTGCATCTGCCATCAAATGGAGGGTTGGCTGATGGCTGGATGATCTAGGATGGCCTCACTCATATGTCTGGAGTTTAGTAGGCAGGTGGCTGGGGTTTGGCTGACTGGGTCTCCTCCACAAGACCTCCAGTAGGCTAGCTTGGGCTCACTTGATGGTGGTCTTACGGTTGCAACCATAGCAAGAGGAGTAGCTGCAAAGGCTTTTGAGGCCTAAGCTTGGAACTTGCCCATTATTTCTGCCATTGTCCTGGTCAAAGTAAGTTTCAGGGCCAGCCCAGATTCAAGGGGTGGATAAAGACTTTACTTCTTGGTGGTAGGAGCTGCAAAATATTGTGACTGTTTGTGCAGTCAGCCACAGATGATTGCTAACTAGTGTCAACACTATTCTAAGTGCTTTACGTGCATTAACTCATTTAATTATTACATCAACTCAGGGAGGTAGGCACTGTTACTAAATACGTTTCACAGATGAGAAAACAGGTACTGAGAAGTTAAGTAACTTGTCCAGAGACTGCACTCTTAACCAATAAGCTGTTCTGCTTCAAAAACATGATGGAGGGCTTCCCTGGTGGCACAATGGTTGAGAGTCCGCCTGCCGATGCAGGGGACACGGGTTCATGCCCCGGTCGGGAAGATCCCACATGCCGTGGAGCGGCTGGGCCTGTGAGCCGTGGCCGCTGAGCCTGCGTGTCTGGAGCCTGTGCTCCACAACGGGAGAGGCCACAGCAGTCAGAGGCCCGTGTACCGCAAAAAATCCCCCAAAACAAAACAAAAAAACCCATATATGTTGGAGGGACCGCATCACTTGTTTTGAGCAGACCAGATAAGGCTCCATCCAGCCTTGTAAACATTAAAATAGTCTGTTCACATGGCAGACCTGGATATATCGATGCATGCTTTATAAGTGAAAATTTGTAAAGGGCACACTAGGATAAGCTATTTCTTTACAAATTCAGTCTCAAAACTAGGATTCTAATTGGATAAAAGGTACGGCTTTATCTTTCCTTTGTTGAGTAAGCCACTAAACCAAAACTACCCTAAATCAAGGTTATAGAAATTGTACCCTTTCCTCTTTGGAGTTCAATTATTAGAACTTTCAGCCAAAAAGACTCTTGGAGGTTTTGTACAAAGTATGACCTTTGTCAGGTTGTATGATCATTTTTCAGAGTCTCAAGTGACTGCTGGATGGATCTGGCTGTGAGCAGCGTGTCAAGCTCTTGTCCCTTTGTTTCAGGTCTCTCAGGCGGCAGCAGAGCTTCAACAGTACTGCATGCAGAATGCCTGCAAGGACGCCCTGCTGGTAGGTGTTCCAGCCGGAAGCAACCCCTTTCGGGAGCCCAGATCCTGTGCTTTACTCTGAAGACTGGTGAGTAATGATACACCAGGCCATCTTGGGGCCATGGCATTATCGTGGGGCTTCCCAAAGGACTTGGGCAACTGAGTTTTAAATATCTACTGTTCTTGGGGGAATTAAAATAAACCCAGCAAAATGCACAACTTTCCCTGAAGGGTGACTCTAATCTGCTGCTTGTGGAATACATCTAATTAGAAGAGTCTCAGTGCTCTTTGCACTAATTCATGAGATGCTAATATCCTTATGTACTTGAGCTTTTGAACTGAGCTGGTCAATAATAATTTCTTGACCTCAATACCATCTTCTCTGTCCTTACACCATCCTGGAGTTGTGATTTGTTGCTTGGTGCTATCAACTGACTTGTTACTCTTGGGACTAAGGACTCCCCAGAGGAGACTTGGTCCCATCACCAGCTGTGATTTCTTTCCTAGAAGCTTTCAGGATGTATTTCTGTGTTTTAATGGAGGAAGAAATGGAGTAACTGGGGAAAGTGTGAGTAGGGTTAAAAGAACCTTAAAATTTTATTCTTGAAATGAAAACACCTCTTTGGTGGCCTATAATAAATTTCCTGGGTTCTAGTGTGTTGTATGGGGTGTCATTCACATTTTCACTGTTTTTTTTTGGAGGTGGGGGAGCAGGGCAGGGCATAAATTATTAGAGTCTTTTGGGGCCAATATATTTCAAATTACAAGTTCTAAGGGGTGTTTATACAGGAAGTAATCATCTTAGGTCTTTTTTCATGTACTTGAAAAGGAAATTATTCACATTAACAAGAAGGGAGTAATCATACTATCAGGTACTATTGTACCTTTTAATGGAAAATGTTCACATTTATGGTATTAAAATAACAGTCTTGGGGCTTCCCTGGTGGCGCAGTGGTTAGGAGTCCGCCTGCCAATGCAGGGGACGCGGGTTCATGCCCCGGTCCGGGAGGATCCCACATGCCGCGGAGTGGCTGGGCCTGTGAGCCATGGCCGCTGAGCCTGCGCGTCCGGAGCCTGTGCTCCGCAACAGGAGAGGCCGCAGCGGTGAGAGGCCCGCGTACTGCAAAAAAACCCCAAAAACCTACTCATTCAATGGTGTAGTTTGGATTTTCTGGTATTAACATGTTACTTTCTTCTTTGAGAACCCTAAAATGGCCTATGAAATGATGACTAGTTAATTTTATGTATAACTTTTACTAAGTGAAAGCCTACCAAATTCTCTTTCCAATAGGGAAGAAGTCCGCTGAGGAATGCTTTCAAGCACCAAGTGATGAGTGACTGCCTCCAAACCTCAAGAACACACTTCTCCAGCCAAATGACTTTTAGATATTTCACAGGACCTTTCCTGTGGCCTAGTCCTTTAGCCAAAATCCTATGGAAATTTATGAGTTTCTACTCAAGGAAACTGGGTGAAGGAGTAGATTTTAAATAATAATGGCCTGGTTCTTTGTTGAAGTGCTTTATACTTAAACAAAAACCTTACCACCAAATATACCAAAATACACCTCTTTCATTAAGTGAATTACTATTGTTTCTATACCTGGAATGTTACATATGTTTTATTTACTACATGTTTACATTTTGGGAAGGAAAACAGTATTGTTTGTTAAAAAATTAAATATTTGTAATTTGTTGTTCCCGACTAAGAGTTTTATACCATAACAAAATTTGTTCTTTTCTCATGAATTTATAATTTCTAAATGAAGACAAGCAAGTATAAAATTAGGGGAAGAATGGGCTTTATTAATCAAATGATGTCTTGATTTTTCTAAATGAGAAGATTGTTTTATTTTTAACACTAAATATGGGAGCTGTTTCTTAGCAAACTTGTTCGAAAGGATTAATGTTGTGTTGTGTATTAGATTGCCCCATCCTGTATATGAAGCAGATTTGACCTTTGTCTTCTTAAGTTTCTCTATTTTATAATGGTGGTTTTACTTAAAAAAATACTAAATTATTTCATGTCTTTAAAACAATGTTTAAATGTGATCTACAGAATATTGCAAATGATTAAAAAAAAAAGTGATGTGAAAATATTACAACCTAAGTGAATTCTCAATGTCACAAGTGTTTTTCTTTGATGATGTGCCTTTGATTTAATTTGGGACACTTAAAAGAATACTTTATATGTGTTTGTTATAATCTTTGAAGAGCTTGGAAATAAAATTTCTGCTTAATTTCTGCTAATGACAGCAACATTTTGTGTCTGATTTTGTTTTAAGGCTTCATAGATTTTGTTTGCTTGTGAGATTGAGTGCTGGAAGTGGGAGGTGAAATTTTTGTTTACAAGCCCTCACAGAATTTTGTGAAAAACAGATATATGTATAACATGCAGAAATATCTCAATTACTGGCAACATTTGCTCTTTGAAATAGCTATGTATAAATCCATAAATAAATAAATGAGAATATATTTGAACATAAGTAGTGTTATAGTAGAGAATGTAGAAGTCATAAGATGGAACTTCTTTTACTTCCGGCCACTAAACTTCCAAATCTAAGTGATCTGAATCCCTTCCATTCGATCAAAATTCAGGTGTCCTTTTTTCTAACGCTCTTATTCTGTGGATCCGTTTCACCTCTGAAATGTCACACTATCAGTTAGCCTTTTTCTCCTTTATCTTCACCTTCTCTACCGCATCCTTTTATCAGCATTTAAACATGTTCCATTCTCCATCTTAACAACAAAAAGCATTAAAAAAAAAAAAATCTCCATTAAAAAATAAATTTTTGGGACTTCCCTGGTGGTCCAGTGGTTAAGACTCCATGTTCCCAATGTAGGGGGCCCGGGTTCGATCCCTGGTCAGGGATCCTGCATGCTGCAACTAAGAGCCTGCATGCCGCAACTAAAAGATTCCTGCATGCCGCAGCTAAAAGACCCCGCGTGCTGCAGCGAAGATCCCGCGTGCCGCAACTGAGACCCAGCACAGACAAATAAAACAAAAAACAAAAACAAAAAAACAACAAATTTTCAGCTATACAAGATGAGTATATCTTAGAAATCTACCGTTCAGCACAGTGCCTGTAGTTAACACTGCTGTACTGGATACTTTAAAATTTGGTAAGAGGGTAGATTTTATGTTAATTGTTCTTATCACAAAAAATAATAAGGCAGGAGGAAACTTTTGGAGGTGATGTGTAAGTTTATGGCATAGATTTTGTTAGTGGTTTCATAGGTGTGTACGTATCTCCAAATTCATTCAGTTGCATATGTTAATTATGTAGAGCTTTTTATGTGTCAGAAAAAATCTCTTGATTTCACTTTCCATTTGGCAAAAACTTGGTAAGATAGTACAAGAAAACTATAGACATCTTACTTATGAGTATAGATACGTCTTAAATATAAGCAAGCCAAGTTCTGTAGTTTATCAAGAGAAGATACAACCTTACAAAGCTAATTCAACATAAGCACATCTATCAATGTCATTAATTACATGAAGGGTTTAAAGAAGAGAATGTTTACATCATTTCATTTTTTCATCTTACTGCATTAGCTAAGACTTCCAAAGTAGTGCTGAATAATAGTGGTGATAAAAAGTATTTTGTTTGTTCCTAATATGCTGAATGCTTCCACATTTCACCATGTAATATGAAATTTGCTGTTGATTTTAGTAAACTGTCTTTATCATCTTTAATTTCCTTCTCTTAATTCACTTAGTTTTTATTCAGAACAGCTATTGGATTTCATCAAATGACTTGCTGGCATAAACATTTAAGAAGAAATAATATCTGTATTTATGGATTATATAATTTTACACTTTGAAAACTCAGTTTAGTAAAAGAAATACTTGAATTTGTAATATTACAATTTGGGAGGCTGGCTGGATACAAAGTATATATAGAAAAATAAAAAGCATTTTCTACACTGACAATAGCTAGTTAAAAATGGAAATGGGCACAACTTTGTAAATCAACTATAATTTTAAAAAATAGAAATGGAAACTATCCCATTTCCACTTTAATGACAAAACTATAAAAAATACTTGAAAATACATTTAACAAAAGTGCAAGAATCATAAAAGATTTTACTGATGTTTATAGAACAGGGTCCAAATAAATTTCAGGATATTAGGACAATTTCATTAAAATGCAATCTTACTAAAATTTCTATAAATTTAGTGGAATTCCTATTTTATTTTTTAAGGGAAACTGGTTAAAATATCTAGAAGTTTATATGGAAAATCAAGTGTCCAAGAATAGCTTTTAAAACTGTGCATGTGGGCTTCCCTGGTGGTGTAGTGGTTAAGAACCTGCCTGTCAATGCAGGGGACACAGGTTTGAGCCCTGGTCCAGGAAGATCCTACATGCCACAGAGCAACTAGGCCCATGTGCCACAATTACTGAGCCTGTGCTCTGGAGCCCGTGAGCCACAACTACTGAGCCCATGCACCACAACTACTGAAGCCAGCGGGCCTAGAGCCTGTGCTCTGCAACAAGAGAAGCCACCGCAATGAGAAGCATGTGCACCACAGTGAAGAGTAGCCCCCGTTTGCTGCAGCTAGAGAAAGTCCGCACGCAGCAATGAAGACCCAATGCAGCCAAAAATAAAAAATAAATAAAATAAATAAATTAAAACAAAACAAAACCATGTGTGTGTGTGTATGAAACATGGGAGGGTGAAACTTGCCTTACCAGATACTAACTTACTTTGAAGCTGCTGAATCAGAACAATATGACTTAAAAAAACAAAATATTCAAAACAAAAAATTCAAAATAAACAATATTATTGTAGTATAGGACTAGACAAATAGATGATTGGATGGATCATAATAGTTCAGAAATAGACCTGACTTTTTTTTTCTATTCAGTGGAAAGTGTAGTTAATTTAACAAATAGTGCTGGCATTATTGGCTATGCATTTGGAAGGAAATAAAATTGGGCCTGTATTATACTATGCAAAAAAAATTCCACATAGGTTAAAGAAAGGTGATAAAAAAGCATTAGAAGAGGGCTTCCCTGGTGGCTCAGTAGTTGAGACTCCGCCTGCCGATGCAGGGGACACGGGTTCGTGCCCCGGTCCGGG